GGACTTTGGGAACTGGGGTTTTAGTCTGGGAAGATTCTTGCTAGAGGTTGTAGCTAATAAACATAGCTGGACTGAATTTGCAGGGTCTCTTGGAGTTCCTTGGGCTAGGCCTGACAAACACACCCTTTCCAACCTGTGCTGCACTCCCGCGCGCCCAACCTGCACAGCACCTCTCATGCTCCCCTGCGCATCCTTCCTGAGCCGCGCCACATCGCTGTGTGTCCTTCCTGACCAGCGCAGCAGCTCTCGTGCATCCCTGCACACCCCGCGTGCCCAACCCACACCCCTATGTGCCCTCTCCGACCCATGCGGCACCTCTCGTGCATCCCCTTGCACCTGCCCATGCCCCCTCACTCCCTCCCTCCCCCACCCAGCAGCAGCCGCTTACCTGCCTGCCAGCCTGGGACTTGCAACTTCCTGCTGGCTTCCCCGTTGACTTTGGTTGTTGGAAGCCAGCAGGAAGTTGCCTTGCCTAACGACCGTGGGATTCAATTAACGACGGCAACTGGGGTTGCAGGGACTTTATGACCACATTGCTTAGCAATGGAAATTCCAGTCCCAATTGTCATCGTAAGTCAAGGATTATCTGTACACATGCATGCCTTGTGTGCACATCCATGCACATATTTCGCAGTAACAATTTCACTGTTTTTGTTGCCTGTTTCGATACTGTACTCACACTGATGGATTTGTCTGAAGACTGGCATGCACAGAAGAACTCATGCATGTATTATAGAAAGACAGATGTGCACTGACATGTATTTCACGCGTGCACGTATATACCAGTAACAATATTTAGTACTTTTGCTCTTCTGTTCTGTTCTGTTCTATTCTATTCCTATTATACAGGCATACGTACAGAAAGAATATACATAGGATATACATGCATGTGCACAAATACATGTATGTCTGAATGTATGCATACAATGTGCATGTTATATTCATGCTATAGTTTTCCTAAAAAACAACTTATATTGAGAATAGTAAGTTTAAAAAACAGATGCTTTAGTCCTGTCCCTGGCATTTGCCATGTATTGGACTCCAACCCTGAATATAGCCCACCCTCTACCCAACATACCACCCCCCCAGATACGGTAGACTGCAATCTGGATCATCTCCAGGAGGCCATGGATGATGGGCATTGCAGTTAACACCTTTGGAAAATGCCAGATGGGGAAGACGATGGCAGCCCAAATGTTTAGTGGTCTTTATTTCAAAGAACATGAAAATGGTTTTTAGAAGTTTCTGTGCAGGTTAAGTTGTAACCCTAGCAGCAAATTTTCTACTCTTGCTTTTATTTGTTAATTTTTTTTTTAGAGGATTGGTGGTTTGAGAGATTTTTTCCCCATTCTTTTGCACTGCATCGATTTCTTGGAGCTGTTCTGTCTTGTGTCACAAAAGTTTCCTGGGTTCCCTCAGACATTTTTGGCAGGTAGAAATATTTGTCAGTTGGTAAGGGAATGGGGAAAAGAAGAAGGAAAAAATCTTTGAGTTATTGAGCTATTTCGGGGACAAGTAGAGAAAGTAAATTTTAAAAGCAAATTTGAAATGATTACAAGTCGATTGCAGGAGCCTCATTTGCTTGGTGGGATGAACGTTTGGATTCTGTTGCTTCTGTGAAGGTACAGTCCCATAATTGAGTGGAAGCGTGTAAGAAATGTTGACTTGCAATTTGTCACAGATTGCTTTCAATGTTGCAGTGTTGCTTCGGGTACAACTGTTGCTGCTTTGGTGCTCTGGCTGTCAGAGAAACCCTTGGATTTGTAGGGAGCCATGGAGAAAATGGCCAGAGTGACCACCGCTCTTGGGGGCAATACTATCACTGGACGGACCATGTGCTGCCACCTGGATGCCCCCTCTAATGCCATAAGCGTGTGCCGTGACGCTGCCCAGGTGGTGGTCGCTGGGCGCAACATTTTTAAGATCTACTCCATCGAAGAAGACCAGTTTGTGGAAAAACTGAACTTACGTGTGGGCCGCAAGCCGTCTCTGAACTTCAGCTGTGCCGATGTGGTGTGGCACCAGATGGATGAGAATTTGCTGGCCACGGCAGCCACAAATGGTGTGGTGGTGACGTGGAACCTTGGCAAACCCTCCCGGAATAAACAGGACCAGCTTTTCATGGAGCACAAGCGAACGGTGAACAAGGTGTGCTTCCACCCTACGGAGGTATATATGCTCCTTAGCGGGTCTCAGGATGGCTACATGAAGTGCTTCGACCTCAGGAAGAAGGATTCGGTTAGCACTTTCTCAGGTAAGGATTCGTTTTGGGGAGTTTCATTTCCTCATGAATAGAATAGGATGGGGTGGCATTACCTTATGCTACGGAGAAGATCAGAAGCGCTTTAAAGTGCTCTTGAAAGCAAATTTGTAGAGGTTCAGGTGGCTGAAGACATTGCAAAGTGGATGCAGGTGAAGATTAACCAAGTCTCTTCTACCAGTTTCTTCCTTTCCATCAAAAAATTGCTACCCAGATGCCTATCTATCTTCTTCCTCTGGTTCAGACCTCATCCAGAGTTTTATGTCACCCTGAAGCTAAGTTACCATAATGTGAAGTTAATAAAAATAGATGCTTTATTGAAAACAGTAACAGCTATAATTTTTTTAAAATCCCAAAGTTGGATTTAAAATGCATTATTTATAGAAGTTTTAGGCCTGTGATTTATAGAAAACATCTGTCTCTTTAAGGGAAAAAAAAAAATCAGGATTTAACATATTAATTGGGTAGCTGCATTTTCCTTCTCTTCTCACCAGGCTCGGCTAAACAAATCAGAAGAGATTGTTTAGCCTGGCATCTAAGCAGAGATTCCTATTTATTGCTCCTCTGATAAGACAGAATTGCAAGCCAAGCTTCATCTTCTGCTTAGAATTTCTGTAAACCAATTACAAGCAAGGATGCCAAAGAAATTCATCATGATTTGGTTTTTGTGTCCCTGTAAGGGATAGGACCAGAGATGTAGGTTGTATAATGCTACTAGGCTGTCATTATATTATTTAAACTAAATTGTAATCATCATTTAAATGTTATAGTAAAAGACTGTTTTCGTGCTTGACAGAAATAGCCAGATGTGGGGAAGAATGTTTAAGGATTATACTGTAGATAAAACTGAAATATAATATGCTCTGTATTTATTATTTTGATCTTCCTACTGGATTTAGAAACCAGCAAGTCCTCACCGGTGCTAAGATCCAGAATTTATCATTCTGTATTTTTGGGGTTTCCACGCAGTGCTATTGAATCTAATGAAGTGGGGACATCAAATCTGAACATTGAAGTATCTGCCTTAGCTCATTTATTTTAGAGTTGGATTCCGAATTATGACCATTATCAGTTCTGGATAGTCCTAGAGGAATCAAGAGTCTTCTACCTGATTAATGCTTGTGATACTATTATTATATACCCAGGACAAAATTAAACATATTAATTAAATGAATAGCTACTTATTATTAGATTTTTATCCCACTTTTGTACCTATCTATCTCAAGGCAGCAAAAATATCCAGTATTCCTGCCTTCTATTTTCTCCATCACAGCAACCCTGTGAGGTGGGTTGGGCTGAGAGAGAGGGACTGGCCTGAAGTCACCCGGCCGGCTTTCATGCCTAAGGGAGGCCTAGAACTCACCATCTCCTACTTTCTAGCCTAGTGCCTTCACCACTACACCAAACTGGCTCTCTATTATAGTTAATTGCCTGTGAAAGTATATTGGTGCAATTATTTGATCCTTAATCTGCATATACTAATAGTCCTCTTACCCAC